TATTTGCTGGTTCATTACTGATATTTGTGGTTTAAAGTTGTAATGATGAAATACAACAACTTCCCTCTTCAATAATTCCTTTTTTTTTTATCAATTTTTAGTTCAACTGCTTTAATTGCTAACAGAAAAGACTCGTATCAATCGTTTGTTAAATCGTTTGTACCTGATAATGGATGATTACTTTACAGTCCCCACCTTACACTATATGCTTTGTCACTGTTTATGGAGTTTAAAAATCATGGTCGAACGTCGATTGTATGGAATTCCCTTTTCTTTACTTATTATCGTATGTTTGAAAAATGTTACTATTTCACTGATTGCACCAGCGACTCCCAGATGGAAATTCGTTCCAATAATATTTTTTTGCACTTAGCTCATGAGGAATCAAACCAAAATCCTCTTTTGTAACTTTTCTATTGAAAGCTTTTGGATTAAAAATATTCCTTTCGAAGTAGTTCTTTAGTGATAAGTAAATACTCACATGCTGCTCATCTGGAACTTCAATGATACTATATGAAATTTCATAGACAAATTTTTAGATAGTTCGGGTAGAGTAAGAGGTAAACTATTGTAGTAAAATTGAATAATGTATAGACTATTGCATATGACGACATTGTTTATATTAAAAATTATATTCTTACCCAATTAACGTTTCAAATGATGAATGATAATTTTTAAATTCTACTACTTAAAGATACTTAAACGTTTCCCAGAAAAAAGTTTCAATTAAAGTTGTTACTTATTTTCATTATATGTGTAAAGTTCGGTCAAAACCATATTCGGTTGCAGCTAAAGTTTGCCACTTAAAAGTTGGTCGCATGCATATCCTTAACTCTTCCTCTTTGACCGAGAACTTTTTTTGTGACAAGATAATTTTTTCATTTTTTGGTATTTGTACTTAAGCCGGTCTTTTTAGTTTGTTTAGTATTATTTAATTACTTAGGTTAGAGATTTTTTTCGAAATAACAATGTGATCTACAATATTTTAATCTTCATCATTCTTGATAAATTATTTAGAGTTGACATTAGTACGGAGTCCTTATGATTGAAGGTGCGAAACTATCAAAGCAAAATCAAAGATTACTAGGGACCTGAAAGGATTTTTCAGTAATCTGTAACAGTCATATCGAAGTCCTATGTTCCACAAGGACATAAAGAAATGAATAAGAAGTACCAACAATTTGATTAGAAAGGATTGAAATAAGGTCTTACGCCTTTTTTACTCCTTTTAGAACTTCCAAAATGATTAGATTATGAACATTAAGTTTTTCTTTTAATATTTTTCTGAGATTCATTAATCTCAGCAAATTACCATAAACACATTTGACTGGATTTAATAAGGACATTCATTTTTCGATTTTATTTATGAAACTGCCTTTATGTGCATTTCACTTTTAATTATTGCAAATGTCCAAAAAATTACGTCATTTAAATAAAAAAAAACTTAATCACAGTTATTTACGGTGGATAAACGACTAATCATTTTATCTTGCCGCAACGTATTTGATTGCCGTACAAGCTTTAAACCCATTAATTGCCGCCATTTTGTTTTTATCTGATAATTTTATTAAAATGGCAAACGGTTATTTAAATTTTTTGTGGCTGAAGGCATTGAGGCGTGTATTGGAATATGTGTAAAATATTGTAATTATACTAAATACTTGATTACGTAGTACTTAAATTTATTCCTGTGCAAGACCTAATCATGCAAAACAGAGACTTCGAAAAGCGACAAATACAATGGCGGAGAGGATTAATAGTAGGGTACATAAGAAAAATATTTTAGCTTATATAGTATATAACTTAGCCATTATAAAATACTTTATTTTTAACTTTCTTTATTTGTTTGAACGAGACAAAAACTAATGACTGTATATTCTCTACTTGACCTTAAATAGAGTCGGGTACCCTGCGAAAGAGTGGCTTAAATATTAATTCACTTGGAGACACTATAGATATTCTATTATATTACACCAATCTATTTTGTCAAAGTAGCTCGGACTGATGTGAGTCATCTAAAAATAAACTAACTTGTTAGTCTTACGGTATTTATTTATTGATATTTACGTAAACATTAGTCATTAGTCCACATGGTTGGTTTAATTGATTCTTGGTTCGATTATCTACAGCTTGATTAGTACGAATTCTAAGACAAACCAACTAACAAGTACCATTTCTACAGATGAATAAAGTGCTGTGAGTGTAAAGACTTTCCCGACTTCGATATTATGTTTTTTATTGGTTAGATTCCATATCATTGGCTGTTTCACGTGCTTCACTTGGGGCTGTCAAACTCTATGCACAACTCAAACCTAAAATTCTGGAGGACTCACTGTACTTATTACCCAGCGTCAGTTTGGAATTCCGAAGAAGAATTATAATTGCCAATAGTTGGTACTATGGGCTCAATAGGCAATTGAGATGCAGTGGTCTCTCTCAACCTATTACTGAACAGGTCGCTTATTTTACTTGTATTATGACGTAAAAGTATGGATAGTAGAAAGGAAAATTTTTTGTAAGAGGACAAAAGCCTTTACGAATTGGCGATAACTACCGCTGCCGAATGAGTTTTATTTCAAACCGCTTCGCTGGGTTGGTCATGTTATGAGAACGGATGACGATCGTCTAGCGAAAAAAGTGTTTGAATCGGCAGTTGGAGCAAGAACATGTGTAAGTGGGCCGTGTCACCGATGGAGGGATGAAGTTAAGTATGCACTAACCGATGTATGAGGCTGGAGAAGGCAGGCACGCAGCAGAAAGTTACTGCAAAGGAATGCTGTGTCACGTCAAAATCTTATAACGGGTTGTTAAAGCCAATTGAGTAAGTAAATAAGTAATGATTGCGATTTCTTTGAAAAAAATTTGAAGTAAGACGTGTTACACTAATGATTTCTCTCTGAATGCTGGATATTTACGTGTAGTACCTCTTATGAGTTATATGAAGTTCTTTGAAATGAACTGAACTTTGCAATGGCTACACTTGCACTACTGTAGTCTGATACTTTGGTATCAGACTTTATATTTGCTTTACATTTTTTTAAATGTCTAATATTAGATCCAAAAGTATCTTACAGAAATGATCTAAAAATAAACATTTATTTCGAAAAAATTCCGTTGTGAAATATATTAAATTTGTTTAAATTAAAAACAAATAAATTCCAATCGGGACAACTAATCAAAACTAACCCATGCGGAGGGGCGTTTTTGTGCATGACCGAACCGACGATGTCAACAACACCTAAGGATTAATTAAAATTGCTGTTTATCAGGAGGAAAAATCGCATAACATGGATTTTATTGTAGCTGAGCAGTGGCTGGAAATACTTGGCGGTCTGCGGTGTGCAGCGTATGATGTGCGGTTCGTTCGACTTTTCAGTTTAACACAAACAAACAAACACAATAGCACGACAACACAACGTAACAATAACTGCAACAACAGTGCTGTGGATGTGATGTGGATGGCATGTTCGTAATGCGCCGTAAATTGGAGCTGCAACAGGCGTCAATCTTTGATTTAACAGTTGACCTGGCAATTGCGTGGCGAAGTAATTTGTTGTACCACTCACATTGTCAACTGTGTAGTTTCTATGTCTGGAATGGGGCATGGCATGTACTTAGCGAGGTGGTACGATGGTATTGCTTCTGTGAGCCATTAGCAGTTCTCTTCAAAATATTATTATTAAAGTCGTGCCGCCTGTTTAATGTGAACCAAACATGTAATCCCATTTTCCAGTTCGTTAATGCTTCCAGTTTACAGCACGAACTTTGGTTAACTATGCAATGCTTTTTAACTGACCTTACCATTTACTAAAGGCAATTAAACGTGTGAACGTTGCAGCTCGAATACAAAATTCAACTTGAGGTAACATATTGCCCCAATCCAAATATGGTTGAATCGATAAGCACTGAAAAATGGTTCCTTATGTTAAAGTGGATTGAGAGGAAGATGTGTATATATAGGAATTTTACTCGGTTAGTACGACAATTCATTTAGAATAAATGTTTCATTGATTGGAATTAGATATTAAATCATATTGTAACCATGCAGTTGGATTGTAGTTTAAATAATAATCTTAAAATGAGCGAGAAAACTAATTAATTAAAAAATGAGCGAGAAACCTAAACAGAGTAAAAATGAGAGAGAGAGAGAAAAGAAAAGAGAAAAAGAAAAGAAAAGAGAAAAAGAAGAAAGAAAAAAGTTGAGAAAGAAATGGAAAGAAAATAATTGGGAAAGGAAAAAGTTGAAACAAAAAAGGAGAGAAAAATATTGTTCTCCTGCTCTGTGACTGTCCCAGACTGAGTAGAACGGGAAATGTTTATCGGACAATTAAGATGTGTGTATTCAAGAGTTGTGTGCTTCATTAAAACAGTTAAGTTCTAGTCTAGAATGAAGGTATCTCCATTCAAAATTATTAAAGTCTTCCTGACTGTACCGTAACCAAATTCTTAAGCACACCAAAGTGTCTAGAGTTTCTAGAGTCTAACAGACCCCTCTTTCTTCAGGTGGATATCTACTGCCAGTGATATAAAACTTTATATTAAACTGACTTTATAAATTAATCGTAGGCTGTAATGTGAAGTCGGCTACACCGGCAGTCATCTAAAAATATTGTAATAATAAAGTTACAATGAGTTTGTGACATAATAATATAAATTAATTTAATTCAAAAACTAAAAGCATATGTAAATATTTGATAAAATTAAAAAAGTTTGTAAAAGTAACAAGATTTCGTATCATTTTGCGTGTTTTAAGTGAACTGCACGCGACCCACCGCAGCAATGACATTTCCAAATGAAGTCCAATGAAATGCGGAAAAACTATGAATAGTTCGGAGCAACTGAATCGGATTTTGGAATTAGTTTGGAGTTGAAAGTGCGTGTATGTGGACTGTACGAAATCATTTCAATTGCAAAAAAAAAATAAAAAGTTATTCAAAATATCTTAAAGAGTTTTTCATAATAATTCATCTTTTTCATTATCGCTTTTTTCATTAAGCAGGATTTTAGGATAACGTATTTTAACAGGGATTCTAAATATGTGCAAACATTTTGTTGCTCTGGGTTGGGCTTCGGTATGTCTTCAATGGCTTTTAGTGTTGCCTAATGCAGCAGCTGAAAGCGGCAACAATGAAATGAGCAACACCACTATCAAGAGCGACACAAATTCGGTTCAAAATATTGCTGCTACTCAAGTTGACAATACCAGCACTAATGCTAACGATAACAATAGCACTGGCAACATCAGCAGAAGCAACAATAATAATAACAACAACGACAACCACAACCACAGTAATCCGCACTTCAAATCAAATCGAACGACAATTGTGCATTTATTTGAATGGAAATTTTTGGATGTTGCTGAGGAATGCATAAATTTTCTGGGTCCGAATGGATATGCCGGCGTACAAGTAAATAACGCACGATAGTCGCATAAGCACATAAAAGACAAGAAACATGCAGTTCAGTTTAGTTTCCATTTCTATCGAAATTGCAATGATTTCTCATTGCGATTTTCCATAATTTTCCAAATTTTGAAATTAGTAGAGGAAAATAGAAGAATGAAATATAAATTTTTCTTAAAATTTCAAGAGTGGAACACAGTGAACCCCAAAAAAAAATGGTTTTAATTATTGACAGTAATTGAGAAGATAAGATGATAAGAGGATTGCACACGGCATATAGTGCTAAGATTATTTAAACCAAAGAGACTCAGAGTCAGAGATTTTTAATTATCAGAGATAATTGATTACACATTCGTATAAATCGATTCCATTCATAATTAATAGATATAATAGAATGTGTTCTATATTGATGTAGTAGCAGTCTATCTAACTGAATTGAATCAAAAATTGATTAAAGAGAAAATCTATGAAGATTTTCGACTTTGCTTCACATAGAGTCTATTAGTTCCTTTATTTGGAAGTACAGATACATTTTTTGACATACTCTGTATTGAATATGGCAATACGATGACGATGTGTCTGAGTTTTTGCCGGTGCAGCATAGAATTTAAAGCAATTTCGAATCGAAAAATATCAAATGAAACTTATTAACAATCGAAACATTATTATTCTTCCAATTATTTATCTTCATCATTCCTTATGATGTAAAAATACATTTTACAATTTTTAAATAATTCGCCATAATAAAGGAGTACCATATTCGAAGGCACTCGTTTTTTGAGGTACCAGAAATGCCAATTCAATAGTCCACTCATAAAACGTAATGCCTGATGAATTTTCAGCAATATATCAATTTTGTTTATTTTTATGATTTTGCAATTTATTATTCCATGACTGTCACATACACGTATTCATCCGTGGCTCTGTTGCTCTGTTGTACTAACTGTTGTTTCTGTTGTTATTCCATGCACTTGCAACAGTTGTCACCCGTCACGGAGCATTTGGTTGTGCGTACTGCAAGGTATAGTCATCCCTGGTGGGAGCGCTATCAACCTATTTCATACAAGATAGCAACACGTTCCGGTAGTGAAGATGAATTCCTGAAAATGACGCGTGCCTGCAATGCAGTCGGTGTACGTATCTACGTGGATGTAGTGCTGAATCATATGGCTGCAAATAAATACAACCCCACCGACAGTAGTCACAGGAATACGAGTAACACTAAAGATAAAACAAACGAGTCCAATGGCACCTTTCCATTGTTGGGAAATGCCGGCAGTAAGGCAAATGCCAACACTTTTGACTATCCAAGTGTACCATATAAAGTTAAGGATTTTCACAAAGCATGCATGCTAGAAAATTATCAGGATGCACATGAGGTGCGTAATTGTCAGTTGGATGGACAACCGGATTTGGATCATTCAATTGCTAATGTGCAAGTTCGTATTGTTGAATTCTTAAATAAATTGGTGGACTTGGGTGTGGCAGGATTTCGTGTTGATGCAGCAAAACATATGTGGCCAATTGATATAAAGGTGACTGCCACTTGAGTTTGTATTGAGATTTTATGCAGTTTCATGCACAATTACTTTGTATTGGTGACAGTTTATTATTTTTAAATTAAATATTTTTTTTTTGTTTTTATCCAGCATATGGTCAATAATGTAAAAAATTTAAATAGTGAAGACTTTGATTTTGCAATGGGAGCAAGACCATTCTTTTATCTCGATGTTGCTGATGTTGGTCTTGATGCAGTATCGAAGTAAGTAAGCTATTAATTTTGATTTTTTTACAAGAACTTTAGATATGATTAAATTTGTTAAAATAAATGTACCACAGAATAATTATTAGTACATCACATTGCTATCTTTCTTCTTCAGGTACTAAGTAATTATATAAACATAATAATACGAACGCATGTGCTTATTTTAGTAGCCAAGTTAAAAGTGTACAAGCTCTTTTATAAAGTTAAGAGCTACGAAGGCCAAACGGGACTTTTCCAGACAAACAAGTTGATGACCCATTTGGTAGCAATCAGACGATCGAATAAGATCGCATGATTATAACATCAATGAAATTAAGCGCAGTGGGTGGATTTGAGAAAATTTCTTAGGACTAACCTTTCAAACACGTGCTATCATTAATCATTCTTATCTTCCTTGCAAAAGCCATAATTATTTAGCCGTAAGAATAGGCAACTCATAGTCCTCTTCTCAGCCTTCACGTCAAACCGTTGTGTAAATACAATAGAGCTTTTCAAGATCTTGAGTAATGAGCTATAAAGTACCAACAACACTATGCTTCGATATTCGAAATATGTTTTGCTGTTGTCACTCGGCTATAATATCTCTCGATTACCGATCTCGTTTCACAAAATGGTGATAATCCCAAGTATGTGATATAATACATACACCGCTTTTATTTGGAGACGAGGAAATCTTCTGTTGTACATTTTTCTAATTGTCAGACATTATATATAGTTTACTTCCTTAATAATCACTTACTACTGACTTCATATCACCAACATTTTATTAGTGTGATAAATTTATTAATTAAAAGAAAACATTCTTATAGAAAAGATTGAAACACTTTATGTTAGTTTACCTGTAGTTATTAAATTTATATATTCCTAATAATTAATTGTTATTAGGACCTACTTATCAATAAGTTCTTAATTTTTACAGAGCATAAGGTCAGTTCTTTAACACTTAAAATGATAATAAAACACTTATGAATATATTTCTTAATGTTAAAGTTTTCAATATATTTGAACACAAATTAATAAGTGTTTTATTATCATTTTTAAGTGTTAAATAGATGACATAAAGCCCGGTAAAAATTAAAAAGTTTACTTATATATTCCTATATTTCGTGACATCGTTTGGCTGGAAATAATGATAACGTTTTTGTTTCAGAACTGAGTACACCTCTTATGGTGTCGTTTCAGAGTATTTATATCCGTTTGAGCTATCGCAAATCCTAAATCATAGATCAACGTTAAGTGCTCTCATCAATTGGGGTCCCGCTATGGGATTTCTATCGCATCAACATGCTCTAGTCTTTGTTGACAGCCACGATACACAACGCGGATTATGTGATTTCGGCCACAAACATGTATTGACATATAAACAGAAACGCAGTTATGTTATGGCTAATTTATTTATGTTAGCACATCCTTATGGTTACATTAAGCGGATTATGAGCTCATATCGTTATGATAGCGGCGAACTCGATCAAGGACCGCCAAGCATGCAGCCGCGCACAAATGACGACAACATACAAACGCCGAAGTTTGATAGAAATGCACAATGCACGCCAGAGTCAGGTTGGATATGTGAACATCGCTGGCCTGCAATAGTTAACATGATTGCATTAGTGAATAGCTTAAATGCCATACAGGACATTATCATTAATTTTCAGACAGACGGACCGAATCATGTAGCCTTTTGTCGTGGCCATAAAGCATTCATAGCCATCAATAATGATCCCGTTCTGGCATATGAACGTGACGTGTACACCTGTCTGCAGCCAGGCATTTACTGCGATGTTATTAGTGGCGGCGTGAGTGAGGGAAAGTGTGGTGGTAAACAAATTGTGGTCAATGCGGAGGGTATAGCTAACATAATGTTGCCAGCCATTGTAGTAAATGAAAATGCGACCTCAAATGCTAGCGATGCAGCAAATGATGCAAATGAAGTTGCTGATTATGGCGTGATTGCAATTTATGTCGGTTCAAAATTGCCACAGACTGATGAAAATGCAAGCATAGCAACAAGCACAAGTGGAAATGTTGCAACAAAGAGCGGCTACAATGCAATTGAATTAAATCAAGTAACAACCGTTTCAACTCAAACCAATGATATCACAACCACTAAGTTACCCACTGAAGTAAGTACTCAGAAGAGCAGCTCACCTAGTTCACCTATAGCAGACACAGCCACAGACACAGCAACAACAACACATTCGTCCAGTGATGTTGAAGATGACGACTCCGTTGTGAATGCACACTCAGATGTAGAAATTCAGACCACAAGTTCATTATTTGATGATATAAAGGAAAGTACTAGTAGCCCCACTGACACGGAAAAGAGATCAACTACGTGGCATGAGGAAAAGCAAGTCAAACACCATTGGGAAAAGTGAAACGAAGAATGGTACAAGTCTTGATTCAACAGGGATTTAGTAAATAACAGTTAAAAGTAGCTTGTATTTTTAAGTATTTATGATTTATTCAATTTGGTACCACTTTTTAAATAAAATTCAGAATATTTAAAAAATGTATTAGCAATATTAAATAGTTGATGACAAGTCATAGGTTCTTTCACAATTCTAATTAAATTTGTAATTATATTGTTCACATTATCCAAAAATATTACTAAATAGATGAAAGTAAGTACGTTTATTTTTTGCCGTACGTTAAACTCTTTTTCTAACACGATCCATAAAACTGAATATAACATTGCAGAGGACAGTCAACTGGAATCCTTGAGGCAGCAAATTGAACAATGACTAGAAAATCCATACAAAAAGAAGGTGGCAACTAAAGTTAGAATTGCTGGAATATAAAGTTTTGAGTTGGAAGCTGATAGAAATATACACAATTTTCTCTGAGGTTAAGAATCCTTAGCCAATAACAGCTATTGACACGTAAGCCAACTTTGTAATATACCGTTACCTACACCAGCGATAAAGTAGAACAGATTTAGTTCTGGTTAAATAGATGGCGCTGGTTCATACTGATATTTCATCTAAATTTGAAGTTGTTTAGAATAAGAGAACAATGTTAAATTGAAGACCCCCTCTGGAGAATTATGCTTTTCTAGAACAGTTAATAGCACAGGTCGCTCACTCATATTATTGTTTTAAAACATGTTTAATATATCTGTAATAATGTTAATATAATTGTTTATGCACTACAATGTACAAATGCATAAATAGTAAGTTACCTCATAATAATTAAAAAACTATAGATTTGATATATTTGGAGTTAAATTAGCATTTAGTCCAGTTCAAAATTAGGCAGCCACAATAACTTCTGGATCGCTGCTTAAGAACCTGGAAGTTACTCGCCATTTCCATTTGAGCTAGAATTTCCCATCAGTCACTATTATAGCTCACTATTTGAAGCAAATTGTGAGTGAAGTTTCTTTTTACCACAATGATTACAAAGCAAAGGATTTCCCGAAAAGAGTTCTTCGTTTGACGATACGCGGTCCTCCATATACTTAAGAATTGATTTTTGGGCATTTGTTGATGTTGGCTTCAGTGACATCTTAGCCTTTTCAAGTGTTTGCTTCTGTAAATCATCCAGAATTATTATATTATCGTTAAACAAGGTTTGTTTTTCCATTGCCTTAGTAGCTTTCTGTGCCTTTTCAGATGTGCACTTCTCAGATCCCTTTAAAACTATTATGCTATCTTTTGATGGAATTGCTCTTTCCAAACGTTTAAACATTTTTCTAGTTTTCTCAACTGTGTGATTCTCTGCACCTTTCATAACTACTATACCATCTTTTGATGTTATTGGCTGTTCCAAAGGTTTTAACATTCTTTTAGGTTTCTCATCTGTATATTTCGCCATACCTTTCACATATATTATACTATCTTTTGATGAAGTTGATCTTTCCAAAGGCTTTAAGGCTTTTTTAGTTTTCTCAGCCGTATACTTTTCTACACCTTTCAAATCCATTCTGCTATCTTTTGGTGGTATTGGCTTTTCCAAAGATTTTAATATTCTCTTAGTTTTCTTAACTGAGCATTTCTCCATACCTTTCACATATATTATACTATCTTTTGATGATGTTGACCTTTCCAAAGGTATTGAGACTCTTTTAGTTTTCTCGCCAGTATATTTCTCTGCGTCATTCCAAATTTTTATACCATCTTTTGATGATACTGGATTTTCCAAAGACATTGATATTCCTTTAGGTTTCACAGGAATGTACTGCTCTACATTTTTCCAAACTTTTATACTATCTTTGGATGGTATTGGCTTTTCCAAAGATTTTAATATTCTTTTAGTTTTCTTAAGTGAACATTTTTCCATACCTTTCACATATATTATACTATCTTTTGATGATGTTGACCTTTCCAAAGGTTCTGAGCCGCTTTTAGTTTTCTCACCTGTATATTTCTCTGCACTCTTCCAAACTTTTATACCATCTTTTGATGGCACTGGATTTTCCAAGGACATTGATATTCCTTTGGGTTTCACAGGAGTGCACTGCTCTACATCCTTCCAAACTTTTATGCTATCTTTGGATGGTATTCGCTTTTCCAAAGGTTTTAATAGTCTTTTAGGTTTCTTAACTGAAAATTTTTCCATACCCTTCACATATATTATACTCTCTTTTGATGAAGTTTTCTCACCTGTATACTTCTCTGCACCTTTCAAAATTTTTATACCATCTTTTGATGGTATTGGCTTTTCCGAAGGCATTGACACAGATGTGTGCTGTTCTGCAATATTCGAGACTTTTATATTTTCTTTTGATGATATTGGCATTCCCAAAGGCATTGATATTCCTTTAGGTTTCACAGGTGTGTACTGTTCTGCACTTTTCAAAACTATTCTGCTATCTTTTGTAAAAATTGACTTTTCCAAAGATTTTAATATGGTTTTAGGTTTCTTAACTAAATATTTCTCCATACCTTTCACATATATTATACTATCTTTTGATGAAGACTTCTCCATAGGTTTAAAGGTGCTTTTAGTTTTCTCACCTGTATACTTTTCTGCACCATCCCAAAATTTCATATCATCATTTGATAGCATTGGCTTTTCCAAAGACATTGATATTCGTTTAGGTTTTACAGGTGTGTACTGCTCTGCACCTTTCCAAACTTTTATACTGTCTTTTGATGGTATTGGCTTTTCTAAAGGTTTTAATATTCTTTTAGGTTTCTTAACTGAACATTTCTCCATACCTTTCACGTATATTATACTATCTTTTGATGAAGTTGACCTTTCCAAAGGTATTGAGACTCTTTTAGTTCTCTCGTCAGTGTATTTCTCTGCACCATTCCAAATTTTTATATCATCTTTTGATGGTATTGACATTCCCAGAGACTTTAATAATCCTCTAGGTTTTATAGGTGTGTACTGCTCTGCACCTTTCCAAATTTTTATACTGTCTTTTGATGGTGTTGGCTTTTCTAAAGGTTTTGATATTTTTTTGGGTTTCACAGGCATGTACTGCTTTGCATCGTTTAAACCTACTAAACTCTCTTTTGATTGAATTGGCTTTGCGGTAGGTTTTGAAGTTCTTCTAGCTTTCTCAACTGCGTACTTATTTAAGAAGTTCAAAATGATTGCTTGTTCATGTGTTGGCGATTTCTGTATTGCTTCTGTAGCTAAATGCTTCTGGAAGCCATTAAATATTGTTAACTCACTTTCTGAGAAAAACGATTCCTTATTTGAATCGGTATTATTTTTAGGTTTATCATTTTTACTTTTTTCTAACCATTTAAAGACTTCTTCTGCATTTTTTGACATTGGCCTCTCAGGGTACTCTAAAGATTTCGCATATTTTTCAGTTGATTGCTTCTTGAACATTTTTAAAGTAGTTGCTTTTTCCTTTAAGGATGTTGGTTTTTGTAAAACTTTAGAATTTTTTTTAGAGTCCTCACTTAATGATTTTGATCCATATCTTGAACCAAGTTTTAGTGGGTGGAACGATGCTACCCTTCCCAATTGCTTTAAAGGCTTTGTAACGCCCTCAGCTGTGTGCTTTGAAGGAATATTTGGTTTCGATAATTTTGGCTTCCGTAGGTCCTTTAACAATAACTTGATAGTTTCTGCATATTTCAGCTTATCCCTTTCCTGTGCAGTCTCCTTGGGTTTTTGATAGACTTTCTCCTTCGGAAGTGTTATTTTCTTTTTTTTATCAGAAGGAATAAAATAGGCATTATTGTATTTAAAAACCACACCACGTTTCACACATCTCTCTAATGCAACGAAAAGCACGGATATAATTTCAAATTGAGCCAGTCTGTGTTTGGACGAAACATATTTGGTGATTGCCTCTAGACTACTGGGTACCTTTAATTCTTCCAGATAATGTAATATCGCCGTATCTGAAAGGGTCATGTTGATTAATAAACTTTAAAATGCTAAAGTGTTTTTCAATTTGCAATTTTTATTTGTAAAATATCAATACTTAAAATTTTGAATACTTTTTCTCCAAAGCAAACGTTGGGCTATAATAAAAATTTCTAAATGAAAACCAGAAATGTTTAACATTCAAGAAAATTTACTAAGTCAACACTGCCTACTGTTCAAATAAATTAATATTCAAAGTTGATAAGAGATTATTCGGTATGGAGAATAGATTTATACGATATGTGGGAAATGGCCATATTTATGGAGTTAAGTTGCGTTTCCATGTGATGATAACGACACTACATGGGCTTATGATCTTATGGTTAAAATAACCATAAAATTGAAAGGAGAATCTTGAAAAAAAAGGATATTGTTATCCTGACCTTATGACCCTATTACGGGGTTTACATTATCAATTTTGTAGGTGGAGATCGACTTTAGGAGCTAAACCAGTCACCAAAGCTGACTTTATGATATAAAAAAGGACGCAACAAACTTCGAATTTTCACTGAATGTAGAATTCATTTAATACCTTTTCTTGAATACAGCCCTGAAAATAATACGTTATCGATTTAAAATAATATATTGCCAGTGCCATTTTAACATTGTTGCTATGAAAACTGGGTTGTTATCTATGAATATATTTTAAAAAATGATTATTTATTAAACTTATTTAAAGATATTGAATATTTGAGTTGAAATATTGAAACAATATTTATTAATTCTATTATTTGAGCCCATTTTCTATGCTTTAGAAATTGAAATTTTTTAAAAGTCTTGAAATTTCCCGAGTTTATAAGCTTGACTTTGACTTGAAATTTTACAAAATTGTACTACTCTATTTTTATGTTCTTTATTATTAATTACAGCTTAATTATTTGTCTATTAGCAGTAATGCAGTTAATTTTTAAAATTAGTCTACCGAAGAGCAGCTAAAGATCACCTGAGTAAATTTTTTAAATTAGTCATTAGTGATAACATCAGAAAGTCTATACGGATGGAATTATGCTACTACTACCACTACTACTACTACTACTACTACTACTACTACTACTACTACTACTACTACTACTATTACTACTGCTGCGCTTACTTCTACTATTGCTATAACTACTACTACTAATATTACTAATA